TAACAAGTGAAATATCCACTAAAGCAAAGCTTAAGTATATAACACCAACAAAACCATGTCTTCTTACGAGGAGCAACACAAAAAATTATGATTCACTACCAAAAAAATGTCATATTCCAACGAAAAATCATACGATAATATATTTCAGTAGAAATTCCACTAGATATTCCAACGGAATAGCTTCGTTGGAATGATTTCAATAGAAATTACAATGGAAATATTCCGCTGAAATGAGTTTTCTTTTGGAATTTAGATGGAATTATTGTTGTAATAAAATTACATGTGAAAAGAGAATTGTATTATGTGGGAATCCTTAGATATGATGGTGTTGTTAGTAAATGGTAAAATTAATGTTGCAAATGTGAATGTCCAAATTCAATGAGAGAAAACCTTAACCGTGTTCGGTTTTGAGATGTGAGAATGAAACTCAAAGTTTCATTACTAGTTTCATTAATTTAGCCTTAATGAAGGCATTAATGGAACACCTCTTCATTGAATGGAAGCTAGCTCATGAGCACTATAAATAGTGCATGCATGCTAATGGGAAGGACACACCAAGTGAAAAAAAGAAAAGGATCACTTTAATACATACATAGTCTCTTTCATCCTCTACAAGTCAAAGAAAAATTAAGGGTTCTTGGCGACTGAGCTTCTGATCGAGGTGAGTGTGTTAGATAGTGCAGTCTTCACACTTTGAGCCGTCTTATCCTGGGAGAAAAGGCGTAGTACTCGTTGCACAGTATCGGGGCGTCTGTTTCTTCAAGGCAAACAGATTGTTTCTGTGATTCGGCTATATATGTTCTATAACAATATAGAACTGTCAGTTAAGTTATTTAATTTTATAATAAAGTTATTTATTTACTAATAGAAATCTGGTTTCATCTCACGTTCCCGTGGTTGAATGTTTGTGGTTTCTATTTCAAATTCTTAATACGTATATGTGTTGAACTCGTTCTTAATTCGCCTTTACAATCATTATTATTTCCAACAATCTTGAAGAAACAGATTTTGTGATTAAAACGAGATTTTTTTTCAAAAGTGTTATACGTATTTATTTTACTAATTTTTTCTCAATTTATCATTATGGCAAGTGGTTCTGGCACCATATCAAGTAATGCTATGTTGAATTCAAAAGTCGATTTATCCGGCTTACCGGAAAAATTTTCGGGGCAATTTTTCAAACGTTGGCAACAACGAATGAAAATTTGGCTTACGATGAAAGGACTTTTGACGATAATTCAGGTGGCTAGGCCTGAACCCACTGATAATGATCCCAAAACAACTGAAACTGCTCAGTGGGACGAAAGAGATCAAATTGTTCGAGGAGCTATTTTGTCAGCTTTGTCAAATACGCTCTTTGATGTTTATTGTTCTGATTCGTACACTGCAAAGTCGTTATGGGATGAGTTGGACAAGAAATATAATACTGAAGAGCAAGGTCTCGAAAAGTATTCTGTTTCTAAGTTCCTAAAATATCAGATGGCTGAAGGAAAGTCTGTATCTGAGCAGACACATGAATTGATCAACTTGGAACATTCTCTCGTTGGTGCTGATATGAAACTTCCTGAAAAGTTTTTGGTTATGTCAATTATTGATAAAT